TAGCGATGCACTTGTTACTAGTAGTAAGGTCAGGAGCCCCTAGTAGCTTCTTGTTTCTACAACAAACAGTTTGCAAATTCGGTCGCATAGAAATTGAATGGTGGCGCTTGCGAAAGGGTTTCCTAAATTTGGATGACACGCACAATATACGTAAGGGCCTCTTTATACTTTAGCTGTATGACCGAGTTTCCCTTGTTCATCTCTCTTCCTATTCTTGGCCCACTTGGACATGTCACATATGTGATGCACTCAAAATCCTCATAGGTGGGTGTGTGTGAAAAGAATCTTTCCAACAACCAAGAAAACCTGGATGTGCTGCGTTCTGTATCCATCCCTTCGTTTTCTTTAGTTTCCTAGGAGCAAAGGGCATCGCCGAGTAGCGATGGCGTTCAGCAGTATTCCCCGCCTCCACCATGGAGGTCGCACCTCACGCCGAACGAGAAGGCAGCGGTACGGACGCCGTTGACGCCAGAGCCGTCTCTTGAAGAATACTCTCGACGCAGTGTGGTCACTAACAATTCGGTTCTAGCCAATTCGCTGCTAACAATGCTAATTCTGAGCCTCTTGAGATCTTCGAAGTGCATTTTGGTTGCGCAGGCTCGCAGAATCTCTCTGGCCGGCGGACGCTTTCGCTGACTGCTCTCGTTAGGCGTGAGGAGCTGGCAGCTTTCTTGCTCCTAGTAGTACGGCCAGGAGCTACTAGTAGCTTCTTGCTCCTAGTAGCGATGCCGTCCGTGGCTCGCGCAACGCTTTGTAAACCTCGAAGTGATTTCGTGGCCGCAGCAAATGTGCTCTCATATGTGCCCTTCCCTCACCTCAAGACATCTACACCTCTAGACCTCCCTAGACCTTGACACCTGTAGGATTCCAGGCTTCTAGACCTAGAGCTCTTCATATCTTTGGACCTCAAGATTTGTAGACAAGATTTGTAGAACTAGAGAGCTAGCGCTAGATTTCAGGGACTCAGAAGTCCAGATCTCTCTGGATTTCAAGACCTTTGTAGTTCTCATGGCCTCGCGGCCTATCTGCATCTCTACCCCTCTCTAGAGCCCAGTACGTCCAGATCTCCAAACCTTCTGCTTCTGCACCTCTAGACCTTAGACCTCTAGATGTCAAGGGCAACACTGTTGGAGTCTTTTGCCGGGATAGTCCGCATGTTTCTTCCTTTTATGAAGATATACATGTTGATCGCTTTTTTTACTCTTTTGAGGGGCGCTAGTAGGTGTGGTTGCTACTCGATCCAGAAGCTTCCTAGCTACCTGACGGAAAGCTCAGGGCTTGGAAGAAGCCCTCGCACTATTCATTTCGCTCCTAGATTCTCAGGGAATCTTAACAAGTGACAAGAAGCTACTAGGAGCAAAGGGCATCGCTACTAGGAGCAAGGACGCGGCTAGGGGCTCCTGGCATCGCTACTAGTAGCATTCTTGTTACTAGTAACAAGAAGCCAAAACTGTTTTCCTTTTCTCTTCTCTTCTTGCACCAACTGTTAAGTTAGACTGCCGTTTTGTGCATTGCTGCACTCTTTCGTGTCCAAGTTCTCCCTCTTTCAGCTCCCGGCTTGCTTGCTTTCAGCCACCAAAAGCCGGCCGCTGCTCATGGTACACTGGAAAAATGAGAACTGGCCATGCAACAGTTCTTTTCAATGAACTTCGAGGCTTCTCGTGTTGGACTGCGCAACATTTCTCGTCGATGTTTCCGAAAGCTGCAAAGGCTGCATTGTCAGGGTCACATGCAGCTGCAAAGGCTGCAAGTTTCACAAGCAACACCTCTTGACATGTTAAACGACGGGTTGGCCAGTTGGCGAGGCCAGTTGGCCTTACAAAAGGCTCGGCGTAAACATGCACTCCTCACTTTCCAGAAAGGCGATCGACAGGGATTTCCCTGTGACATTTGTCCTTCTGAAACGTGGCGTGACCACACACAGCAGGTTTAGGTGATACCCAAATTGTTTGTACTAGTAGGAGGCTACTAGGGGCTCCTGGCATCGCTACTAGGGGCATTCTTGCTATTTGTAACAAAAAGCTATTAGATTGGAGGCCATCGCTAGCAGGTTGGGGGCCATTGCGCATGTTGCACTGTGCTGAAATGGCCTCAGCGTGCCCGTGTTGCGCCGTGGCACGTGTTGGAAACTGTGAGCAACGCCAGCAAACTGAAAGTCATCCAGGCCAACGACAATCCCAGACTGTCTTGGTAAGCGGCGCTCCCAAGCCAGGTTCCTCCAAAAAACATCCCATAGAAAATCGCAAATATCCAAAGGCTTTGAAACCAATCAGCCCAACATCCTGCACGTTTTGTGAGCCAAAGCGGTACTGCGAAGCCGTCGCAAAGGTAAAGAACCGATTTCAAAGATGTAAGAAACCAGAAGCATTGAGTTCCACAAACCTTTCCCAGGAAGAAGGATAACATGCCTTCCACTGGAGCCCCACATCTCCAGAGAGACCAAGTCATGTCCAACGAGGCCGAGATCGTGGCCGTGTTAATCAGTAAGAAATACTTCCATGGCAGTGTCGCAGCGACTGAAGCCTTCAACACTTCATTCCTGGAACCGAAACCAATACAAAAAGCGCTTTTCCTTTACAACATCATCTCCGAAAATGACCTGAAGAACAGCAGTTTTCCGCGTTAAAGCACAGCAAATTGAAAAGCCAGGGCCGGTGAAAAAAGAGTCGTTTCGTGGTCAAGTCGATTAGCTCGCAGTGACCGAAGTTACTGGAGAAAGTGGAGTGAAAGTGGTTTAGGAACAAGAAGCTACTAGGGGCTCCTGGCCTTACTACTAGGAGCAAGGATGCTACTAGGAACAAGTGCATCGCTACTAGGAGCCAAACTTGCAGAGAGACGCTTTCACCAAACCACGACTTGAACCTGAACGGAAAGACCGGAAGACCATGCTCGGACACCTGGAGGCCAAGAGTGGGAACCCAGCGAAAACGCAGTATGCCCTCGAACGCCGCTGTTTTCTACAAAGAAAAACTAAGAAAAACGTCGCAGACCGGTTCGGAGGAAAACCCGAAGAAAGAAATAGGTCGTCGTCGTCGTTGTCGTCGTCGTCCAACCTACTAACGGTGGCTTCCAACCTACTTCTCACCGCAAGCTACACATTAATGGCCTGCAACCTCAGAGCGGTGGCCTCCAACCTACGCGTGACCTCAAGCTATGCATCATATGTCGTCTCTTTTCATGTCTGCGTGTCTTGTTACTTGAGGCCGAGGGTAGGTGACGAAAGCTAGCAGGGGTGCATCCGGACTGGTGGGACATCAAGCGGAGTGAGGCAAATGCTCATGAGGTAAAACGTTGTGAACATGTAAGACACACAAACAGCAATGACACAGCCAACCTTAGAATTGAAGTCCCCGATAATTAAGGAAGTGTGGCTGGACTTTGCCACACTATTCGATGCATCCGATGTGTTTACGAACCTGTGAGCTTGTTGAATCTGTTGCACCGCATCCCGGAGGAGTTAAACCAAAGTGGATGCCACAAGCGGTGCCCGAGAGGTGTCCCAGAGGCGTCCCAGGGGGGAGTTGAACCCACCGGGGGGGGGGGGGGGGAGGGGCGGCCCCCCCTACATATGAAGTTTTCACGTGATGCGGCGATCTCGAGGATTCCAGCCCCTCACTTGCTAAAGCAAGGACAACTCCAGCTAGCTGGTGCTAGCTTTCGTGACTAGTAGTAAGAATGCTCCTAGTAGCGATGCCAGGAGCCCCTAATAGCGTCTCTGCTCTCTGCGTGTCGTAGTTGTAATCTTCTGCTAAATTTTGCCGTCCTGATCGGGCCGCGCACGTAGCGCACGAAGGCATCTTCGCTACCATACCACTCGCGAATGGCCGTGCAAATGAACTCTCGATCAAGGGGGTCTCGGCAATGAGCGTTGCTCAAATCGAAATGTTCCAAATCTGAGAGCAGCAGGTGTTTATCCATGATTTTTCTGCGAAACATGTGAATCATGACCACAGCCGGCAACAAACCGACGAAATATTCCAGTGCCACTGGGCCATTAGCGATTGTACATTCGCCCAGAGTGCCAATGATCTCAAAAACGGCCCCGGCAACATGAGAACCGAGGAGTAGAACCATGACAGCTGATTCCATGAACAAAGGCGCCAACGTGATTGTACCATTGGGATTTGCAGTGCGGAAGGCTGCCAGTTCAAAAATGCACCAAAGTCCTCAGGCCAAGAGCCCCGTTCGTAGCTTCTTGTTCCTAGTAAGAATTCTCCTAGTAGCGATGCCAGGAGCCCCTAGTAGCTTCAGGTCCGCACCAAAGTCCTCAGGTCAATGTCGATCTTCTGATTGAACAGGAACTCGCACTCAAAGTCGAACCTGCCTATTTCTCCACAAGTCGATCGATCGGGTCGTGACCACGGTGACTCAAGGGCCCTAAATGGCCGCAATCGAACACACAAACGTTCAAACCTTCAGCAAAAGTACCTTCAAGTACATGCTGTGAAAACTGCATTGAGATGGGCAAAAGCTCTTTGTTTGTTCGAGCTTGCCAAACTGGAAAGGATTCAAAAATCTAACTCACTGGTCACCTTTGTCACACACGGCTTTCGTACATGCTCACAAACATCCATGCTCCGTTCGGTTGAGTCAGCTGCGTTGAGTCCGTCTCAGGGTTGTAGTGTGCAGCGGTCTGCTGCATCTTGTCAGCACGTTCACCACGATCAAACTTCATTCGCTCTCGCTTATGTGGATCTACTTCTTCTTTCTCAGCTTGTAGGGCATCGCACAAGGACTGGAGCTGATTCATCTTCTGGTCCTTGACTCGCACATCAGCATGGATCTCCATGATCAAACAGAAGTGTGCATTGAGAAAGCGGTGCCACTGCCGGGTCTGTTCATCAGTGACATTCTCACAAGTCGAGGCCAACGTGAGCTTCAAGTACTCCTCACGTCGAACATCAGGACGACAGTGTCGGATCACATGTCCTCGCATCTGCGGAGACACCTGGTTCGTCCACAAGTTGGCCTGGAGCTCTCGCCATTTGGCTTGATCATCTTCATCTTGAACTTCATCATATCGTCGCTTCCAACGATTGAGCACTTCATTCCATCTCAACACTTCATCATCGCTCTCCGTCTCATTGCCCTCGGTCTCCATGTTAGAAGCATCGACTTCAGCATCGTCATTTGCAGCTTCAGGGAAATCAGCTGCAGTTCCATGGCTCAAACCGACGGACGATCGAAAAGCTAAGGCACACGAGAACTGATACACAGCCACAAAGGTGTCCTTTAGCTTGTTGGCATACTGCTTCACAAGGTTCTTCAGCAACCAAGCTGAACCCAAGGCTCCCACCAAAGCAAAGCACAAAATGACCAGCGTGGTATTCACAAAAACTGGGTCAAACACAGGGTCGTCGTCGTTCGTGCTGTTTGCTTCGACACCTTCAATGCTGCTTGCTGCCAACACTGCTAGAGCACAATTTGCTGCTTTTCGCCACTCGTCTCCACCTTGTCCCTTGCGATGCAAATGCAGGTAGAAATGACGACGGCTGCAGTAGTGGTATGCATCATCTTTCTTGTCCTTCTCCTTTTGACATCCTGGAAGACGGCATAGGTTCATCCTTTCCTTCTTGTCGTGATCTTCCGCCAGGAGTGCCTGACCTTCAAACAATGACTCTGCAGCCTTCTCGTACTCGGCGTTCTCCTTGTCCCTCTCACTCTGAGTGACTTTCTTGGCTGCAACGAAGTTGGGGTCAAAACGAAGGGCATGAACTCCTCTAGACAACGTGTATGCCAGTGATTCACGTGCACTTGTCTTCGTGAATCCATCTGCCAACTGCTGAGTGGAATTTACCCAGCGAAAGTTGCCCATGACGGCATGCAATCGCTCCTTCAGGATGCAAATCTCGATGGCTGTTCTTCTTTCTGAGAGCTTCATGCCAGGAGTCACTGACAGCGTGCTGTCGAACAAGGCCTTCGCATCAGTGATGATGGGTGACTCCTGAAACCAATGCATGGTTTTGTCCTCATGGATGGCCACAAATGGGTTCACCATTGCAGCATAGAAAACCTTGGCCCATTCCAATTCGTCCACTGCAATCGTTGCCGACTGCGCTTCAGCTGAGAGCGAACTTCTGCACATCCTCACCAATTTCTTGCTTGCCCAATCGATCACGGTGAGGGGAAAAGGCTTGTGACTCTCCAACTCAGCTCTATCGGCAATGAACATCATCATACCTCCTTGCGAGCTTCCATCTGGTCGTACCGACCAAGCGGCATCACAGTAAACTCCAAGTCGAAGATCTTGCAGCTCGCCATGCCGGCGGATCTTGAACACATAGGTCTTCACGGCTTCTTTCAAGAACCTGAGGCATTTGTTTGCCTCGAGCATGTCTTTGACTGCTGGCTTGTTTATGTGAGCTTGCAAGAGGCTGATGGTGGCTGCAGCTTGAGGAACACATTGGGTCACGGGCCAAGACATTGCACCAACCAATGCTCTCAACTGTCTGTGCTCCTTCTCCGTGCACATGTCTTCAACCATGGTCTTTCGAGCCTTCTCCAATGTCAATGGCTTGATCTTGTTGACATACTCCTGCAATGAGACTGAAATCACTTCCAGGTCTTCTGATTGCTGGACTTCTGAGCCGCAAAATCGCATCTTGTCACCAAAATCCCACGATCCAAAACGAAAACGTTTGGACAACTGATGCAATCTGTGTTGAAAACAATCAAAGGCTCCTGCTGGATCATGCTGCGCGTCCTGCAAAGAAAACACCTGCTCTCCAGCTCCCAAGAAATCGTCAACATGAAGGCCCAAAGCTCCATCGACAATCCACCAACCTTTGTCCTTCTCAAACTGTAGGAACTCGGGGTCGTCTGCAGAGGCGGCGCGAATGGACAAGTACAAGCATCGATCAAGTGGATGGTGCACCAAGCCCAACTCCTGTGTCAGGTAGCGGTCTGCAGTCTCGTTCCACTGACGGGGAGCTCGAACGTCTCCAAAGGCTGGTTTCGTCGCCTTCAGGATTTCGTGCGAACGAAGGCCCATCAAACGCTCAAGTCTTCTCCTCATCTCTCCAGGCGGTCGCACATAGATCCTTGTTGTGTCGTCAATGGAGTCGGATTGCATGAAAGCGCTTTTGACATCTGCACACCACAATTTCCACTTTCGATGAACTGCCCACACCATCAGGGTGATCCTGCCATGTCGACTCAGCGTAGGTGACTCTCGCTGTAGGTTTTCAGTCAAGACGTCTTTGTGTTTGAAGCCCTGCAAGATGACGCGAGCATTGGGCTTCGGACCTTCGCTGGTCGGCTTCCATCTCTGCAGAAAACGGGCAGGCACGACCTCCCCTTCGCCGGCTTCTGACTCTGGCACGGCTTTCCAAGCAGCGTTCTCAATCCACACCATCAATGCGGCGTCCTTCGCCTTGCTGAAAGCTTCTCGCTGCTCTGGATTCAACTTGCTTTCCTGGAAGGTCTCTGCCATGAGAAGCTCTTCTTCCTCAAGAGGTTCGATTGTGTCCATGAACCGTTCGAAAGCTGGATCCTCTTGCCTGACTGGCGGTAGTCCATCAAGTTGGCGAGACATGTTGTAGGACTGGAAAGCAAGAGATCGGTCGTCTCGAGACATGGGACTCCTCGAACGGCCGCGACTCGGTTCAGTTTCAATCTCTGGCTTCTCCTCACTTGGCTTCTCCATCTTACTTGGTCTCTCTTCGACACCTTCTTCAGGATGCTCTCTCTTCTTCTCACCTTCATCCCTAGGACTCGGGGGGGTTTGGGCTGAGGCTTCTGCAGCGGCGGACTGTCGCTCAACAACCTGCTTTTGCCGTGGTTCATGTGGCTGCGGCTGCTGTGTATCCGCTGTGGCTGTACCCGAGTCCATGGGTTCTTCGTCTTTGATCGCTTCCTCAGTGACTTTCTCGACATCATCTTTGGCAGCATCTTCTCCATCTGCAGGCTGTTCGTCAGGTGGCGTGTCCGTTGCAATCGCAAAAGGTGGGTCCCCGGAGAGGTCAAGAAAACGAATGGGACCACGAACAGGCTGTAGGACACGACGAACAGTGGACTGAACATCTGCTACACGAGCTGTAGAAGGGAGATGCAGCAAGCGAGCCTGAGTCTCACGAGGCGCTTCAGGGCGCAAATGCTCAGGAGCAACCCGAATCAAAGCTGAGCCATGAGCAAGCCAGTAAACGGAAGGGCGAGGAATATCACCAGATCCATCTCGTGGGGTCATGGAACAAACAAGTGCAGGGCCACGCCAACGACTTGGTTCAAGTTTGCCATCACCTGACCTCCAATAGTAAACCCAGTCTCCTGGGTAGAAGATCTGGTCCTCACCACGACTCTTGCTCAACAAAGCTTTGCGAAGTGTTTGGCTGTGATTCGCTTCGTAGAAGCTCGTCGCTGCTGACAATCGCAGCTTCTGCAGCTGTTGGTGATCTGGAGTTCCATCAGCTCGGTTTGTCAATGGCTCATCTGCAAGGCCTGTGTCACGATGATCTCTTCCAAAGACGATCTGCGACGGTGACACACCATGGATGGATCGCAACTTGTTTCTCAAAGAGCATGCCAAGGGAGCTGCCAGCTCCAATTGCAGTTTGGGATTTTCTTGCTTCATCTTCAACAATTGTAATCGCCTGACTGCATGAAGCCGCTCAACAGTTCCCATGCGATGATGCGCCTCCTTTGGAACCAAAGTCAGCTTGATGTTGTGATCATCCATGTAGCTCAAAAACTGCTCGCTCATGTGCGCTCCTGATGCATCCGTTCGAATCCTTGCAGGACAACCGAAGGCATGAATCCAGTCATCCAACACCTTGAGCTCCTCCTTCTCTGTCTCAGCGTCAATCACTCGGTTCATCTCATATCTTGAGAAAAGGTCGATGATCGCCAGGACACGACATCTTTTGTCATCCCACTTGACATGGAAAGTGTCCATCTCCAGCATCTCATTGAAGCTTGTGGTTTGTGGTAAGGATGCCGGCTTGGGAAGCTTCTTTGCCTGAAAATTCTGGCATGTGCTGCACTTGTAGGATTTGGCACATTGAATCACTTCATCACACAAACCAGCTTGCTTCACTGCATGCACAAGGCGATCACGGCCAGGATGACCGAGTTGTCGATGTAACTTCTCCACCACTGACAAAGCTTTCTTTGAATGGGTCTTGGAATCACTGACTTCTTCTTTTGTCACTTCCATAGTTTCCTTCTCTTCTTTCGTTTCTTCAGCAACCATGATCTCGCCAGCAATGATCTTGGCGATCTCCTTCTTCCTCCATGCTTCACACATGCTCTCATAGATTGCTTTTCCAGCTCGTCGAACAAAACCATCTTCATAGTTCTGCATCTTCTGAAGCCCTTTCGTTCGCCCCTCCATCTGAATGTGAGGACGAGTGCAATGGCATGCCAAATCTAGAGCTTCAGCCACTTTCAATGAACTTGTTCTGATTCTCGTCTGTTTTCGAACTGGTCCATCGTCATCCTTGTCCTTGAAGTAAAGACCAGTCCTGCAACGGTTGCAAACTGCTTCAAAATAACCACGCATGCTTTGCAGAGTTGGTGTATTCCAAGAACCAGCTCCATGTGGGTGCTCCATAGCGTAGTCATTCTCATTCTCTTTGCTCACTTTTGCTGAGTCTGCCACCAATGCCAAATGTGATTCTTCCTCTTGATTGAGTTCTTTCTTCCATTCGGTGAGCTGCTCAGCATTTCTTCTTGTCAATCTCTGCATGGCTGACCATTTTCTGCACGGGGGTGCCAGCCAAACAAACTCTGGGCTCACTTCTCGCAAGAGCTCAACAAACTCTTCACGGACTTCTTTGTGCTCGAAATCCCATTCTGGCAATGAGAAAGTGGAAACCTCTACGTCGCTGTAGTTCTTGGCCAGGTAGACTGCAAGGTTGCCTTGGTCCACGTAGACTTCAAAGAACTTCAAAATTCTCTTCTCTTTCAACCTTGCGATCACATCCTCGGCCACATGGTCTGCCATCAGGCCTTCATCTTCTGGAATTTTCGAAATCTCTTCGTTCATGAAGACAGTGGCCTCCGTTTCCATCAACGGCTCAATGAACCACACATTGCTGGGATCATCTGCTTCGTTTCCATCATCCTCAACTTCCTCTGTCTGAATGAAGGTCTCCTCAGGCATGTTGGCATTCTGGTACATCATCAGGTCCAGGATGAAGTGTCCCCTTTCGTTTCTCTCAGGTCGAAACCATTCAGACTCTCCGATCTTCATGAGTCCTTTCTTGTAGTCATGAACGACTCCCCACTCCTCCAAAGTGGGTCTTGCAAGCAAGAAGGGTGTTGCACCAGGAACCACGGAAGCGGTCACTGGACGACACTGTCCGTGAACAACTGCAGTAAAGGTCACCTCGTACTGGGACTGCAAGACTTCACCGCCTCCGAACTTGAACTGGCGAACAATGGCACGAGATGTGACTGGCTGCGTTTGTTCACTTCCATAGTGTTCCAACCAGCGGTGCCAGTTCTCCTCACCAACAATCGTTCGAGTGGCTCCACTGTCAACAATCACCTTCCCCTTCTCCATGACCGCGAAGAAACAATGTTCATCTAACTTCAACTCTTCTTCATGGCCAATCTCCTCAATGTCTTCGACCATCGTCACTTCTTCAGGCACTTCTTTCACACCTTGACCTTGGCTTCTATATCGCTTGAACCGAGGTCCATGCTGAGCCGTGGATCCAGTCAATGTTGACCTCTCTGAGCCGCCGGTAGTGCTGGTAGATGACATAGGGCTTTTTCGCAAACCTGACATCGGTCTTCTGTTGAAAGGGGTTCGTCTCATGAAGTTTCCTCCACCTTTGCTCTTCCTTTTTCCTTTCCCCTTTCCGAAACCAGACTTGCCTTTGCCCTTGCCACTCTTTCCTTCTCCTTTGGGACTTCTATGACTTCCCTTCTCAAAGTCGGGACCCAAAGCAACCACCGGATAGAATCCTCTCGACAAGGCCAATTCCTTCATCCTCTTGCGGCTCTCAATGTAGGACACGTAAGCCTCATCTGTCAACTCCATTGCTTCTTCAAGCTCTTCAGGAATCTCGTCATCCTCAATCTCTCCATACTCGAAGGCTTCGTCGTCATACCACTCTTCAGCGGCATAGCCTTCTTCAAACTCTTCATACCACTCTGAATCATCTTCTTCGTAGAGGACGTCATCCTTGTTGTTGGCCTGCTGGACACGTCCAAGATCACGAGCGTTGGGCTTATGATCTCCTCCAAACATTCTGACCAATGCTTTGGCCACCTTCTCATACTCAAGGTCGCCAGCGCACATGGACTTGATCTGAACGTGCGTCCATCTTGGAACTCCAGCTCTTGTCAACAAATGCCACCCCGACAACAACGGCGGGATATCCACACTTACCTCACTCATGCGCTTGAGGAGGTTGCGATGGCGAATGATGTACGCCTGCATTTCTTCTCCCTTCAGGCGGTAGAACTCAGAGAAGAACTCATCGCAACGGGAGGGCACTTCAATCAAATCCTCATACTGGTACAACTCGTCCAGCAGCTTGAACAACAACTTGAAAGGATCTGAGGCTCTCTCGACTTCATCGAAGCTGAGGTGCTCTGTTGCATCCCATGCGACATCTTTCAAGCGGCTTATGATGAGGAACGTTCCTTCGACAGCAACTTCACGTCCTCGTCGGCTACATTGCCTCTGAAACAACTCTAATCTGCGCCTGAAACTTCTATAGCTCTTCTGGTTCAGGTTGTCGGTGGAAGGACATGCTTTCGCCAGACCTGAATCAAGTCCCTTGCTCTGCGAAGCCGAAGAAAAGGGCATACCTGGAAGCGGAAGGCCAGGATCATCACTCTCGACATTCGCAAACAGTCCTCCTCCTGTAGTACTGGCAGCTGCGGGATTCGCAGGTGCCGAGGTCCGCGCTCGTCGGACTGGTGTCCTTCGTGGACTTCTCTCCATTCCGGACATGGGAGCTTATCCTCAACCGTTCAAAGGAAAACAAAGGTCTCCTCAATCAAAAAGATCACCGAAGAAACCGTCAACCTGGAACGTATTGGGCTCCGCTAGCAATCTGATTGAACAGGAACTCGCACTCAAAGTCGAACCTGCCTATTTCTCCACAAGTCGATCGATCGGGTCGTGACCACGGTGACTCAAGGGCCCTAAATGGCCGCAATCGAACACACAAACGTTCAAACCTTCAGCAAAAGTACCTTCAAGTACATGCTGTGAAAACTGCATTGAGAGATCTTTGATTTCCCATGGCTTTGGGGCCCTCACAAACGCAAGAACGGAATGTAGGTCCCGGTCCCGGCAATGGCCTCCATCCTAAGGGCACCTACAAGCTATGGCCTCCAACCCAAGAGCAATGTGGCCTTAACCCCCAAAGAAATGGCCCGTAACCCAAGAGCCATGGCCTCCAATCTGCTAGCGATGGCCTCCACCCTAGTCGCGAACAAACATGTTTTTACGCCGTCTTCGATGTATTATCAAAAATTCGACCCTTCTTTTGTTAAGCTGTGGTTTCTTCCTGTTCTTCAATCATGTGGCGTTCGTCAAAACCCGGAAACCCACACCCTTGCAGCTTGACCTCTGTAATAAATTTGTTCGGTTCATGTCAGCCTTTCTCTTACATCTCCTGTTACATCTCTTGGTTGGAGGCCATTACTACTAGTGGCGAGAAGCTACCAGGGTGGAGGGCATCGCTATTGGGAGCAAGGACGCTACTTGGGGCTTCTGGCCTTGCTGCTAGGAGCAAGAAGCTATTAGGAACAAGAAGCTTCTGGGAACAAATGCATCTCTACTAGGAGCAAGGGCCTTAACAGTAGTAACAAGAAGCTATTAGAAACAAGAAGCAATTAGGAACAAGTGCAACGCTTCTAGTAACAAGGGCCTTACTAGTAG